CAAACCCTAAACCCTAAACCCTAAACCCTAAACCCTAACGCTTAACCCTTAACCCTTAGCCCTAAACCCTGTCCCGGCTGCAATATTCCATCTGTATGATCAGAACCACGTCGTAATGCTTCTCCAAGCCTTTACAAGGGCCAAAGGCAGGGTTTAGGGTTTAGGGTTCAGGGTGTAGGGTTTAGGGTTTAGGGTTTAGGGTTTAGGGCTTTTGGGTTTAGGGTTTAGGGTTTGGTGTTTAAGGTTTAGGGTCCGCCGACCCTGGCGGCGTGTTGGATGGGTTGGAGGAGGTGAAACCTCCCTCTTTCCCTCCTTACACCCCCAAAATGCGGAGTTTTTTCCGTAGAGGAACGCGCAACCCGGGTGGTGCTTGGAGCGAAGAAGAAGCTACCATGTCTAGATGCCTAAACTTATGAAGTATACGCCTATGTATATGTACACGTGTATGTATGTATATATATATATATACACACCTACTAATCTGAATATACGAAAATATAGTGCTATATGAATATCTGGATATATAGTGATGTACATAGGTATGTATGTATGTATATACAGACATGCATATAGATGCATACAAACAAACATACATACATACATACATACAGACATACATACAAACATACATACATAGTTCTAGTGAACAAGTATACGCCTATATACCTTTGTTGTTTTACTAAGGCGTTGTTTTTACTTGTGCTTCTACTAGACCCAAGAGTATCCTACGAACAAAAAGGGCGCCCTTCTGATTCTTGGTTTAAGGGGCTTATCGCGGAACTTCAACCCTGAACAACCCTAAACCCCGAACCCTAAACCCTAAACCCCATACCCTAAACCCCGAACCCTAAACCTCCAAACCCCAAACACCAAACACCAAAACCCACAACCCAAAACCCAAACCTTAAACCCCAACCCCAAACCCCAAACCCTAAACACTAAACCCCAAACCCCAAACCCTAAACCCTGCACCCAACCCAGCGGCCTCCGGACCGTTGCCGTCGAGGCTTCGAGTCCTTAGCGCGCAGCACGAAGTCTGGAACCTGATGCTATAGCCTTGGGGACCCAATGAGCCCGAAAAAGGTTTAGGGTTGAGGGTTGAGGGTTGTGCTCGAAGTTTAGCGCAGTATAGCATACACCAACTTTGGGGGTTCATTTGGTCCTCAAGGAGGTTGGCCCTTTACACGCTCTGAGAATATTCCCATATATGACTAAAACCCTAAAAAGCGCCCAAGGCACCGAATCTTGCTTGGCCACAGGCGACTGAACTGATTTCTCCTGTTCGACGGCTTTGCAAGGAAGCATCAATGCACTGACATTCCAACAAGCAGCTCCAATCTACGCGGGGCAAGACGTGGGTCGACCAAACATGCGCTCTTCAACCGGGCAGCGCGTTCCCTCGCCGCGGCCTACTGAAACTAGAATGGGTCGTTGAGGTTTAGGGTTTAGGGACTATAGGGTTTAAGGCAGCAGATCTATCTACTATCTACCCACAGAGGGATTACCCTAAGGTGCACCTCATTATTGTATACTTGGGCCCCAAAGTCCCTATATAGGAAGTACTTTAAGGCCCAAGTATTCAATTTTTAGGTACATGGACCCTAAACCCTAAACCCTAAACCCTAAACCCTAAACCCTAAACCCTGAACCACCCTAAACCACCCTAAACCACCCTAAACCCTAAACCCTAAACCCGAAACCCTAAACCCTAAACCCTAACCTTAGGGTTACAAGACGATGATCTTGGCGACAGCCTAGGCTCCAGTAGCTTTGGGTTGGACGTGAAGCCTCGGATGTGTTCACAGCCATATCGGACAAAAGATCCAAAGGGTTTAGGGTTTAGGGTTTAGGGTTAGGGTTTAGGGTTTAGGGTTTAGGGTTTGGGGTTTGGGGTTTGGGGTTTAGGGTTTCGGGTTTAGGTTTAGGGGGTGTTGGGGCATGCAGATTGAGTTTTGGGTTTAGGATGTAGGGGTTATGATAACGAGGGACCCATAAAATAGACACCCCCCCCCCCCCCCTTCAAATAGTAGGAACCCCTTGATAGTAAGGACCGCAACAAGGTACCAATCTCGTAAACCTCCATTTCTTAGCTGTCCAGTACCTAGGGGTTTTAAAGGTTAACCTTTGGGATTATAAGGGGAATATATGAACCCAAAAAGGTTAAAGGTTACCTACTCTACTACTGAGATTTAGGGTTTGGAGCTTCGGGCGCTCAAGCCCATCAAAAGCCACACCTTTGGAGGGCTCTCCTCATACTCGTCTTCATTGACCACCCACTCAAAGCCACAGGAGCTCTCAAAACCTGGTGGTTTAGGGTTTAGGGTTTAGGGTTGAGGGTTTAGGGTTTAGGGTTTAGGGTTTTGGGGTCTAGGGTTTTGGGGAGCCAGGGGTTCTAGATGGTTCTGGGGTTCAGGGTTTCGGAGACGAGGACTCGTGAGGGAAGGCTTTATTGAGGCTGATGACAAGTCCCCGCCCAACTCCTGATGATCCTGATGCCAGATGGCAGAGTCAGTCGGATGCGTTGGTAGGGCTTCCGTTTAGGTGTTTTGGAAAGAGGTTTAGGTCTTTAGACCGTAAGCCTGAGGCCCTGAACCCCTGTTCATTACGGCTCTTGGTTTTTGGTCACAAAGAGCAAAGGAATGCTAATGCCAATGATTCCGATTTCTTCCGTATCATGGGGAGTTTGAGTTTTTTCATGGGGCAGATGGTACGACAAAGTAGGTAACCCAGCACTATCGGACTGTATCTGCTCGATCCTGGAACCCCTGTCACGCCAACCCTCTACCAACTACACGAACCTTTTGGGGTTTAGGGTTTAGGGTTTAGGGCTAGGGTTTAGGGTTTAGGGTTTATAGGGTATAGGGTATAGGGTTTAGGGTTTAGCGTTTAGGGCAGATTTTGTTTGGAGTTTGCTGTGGAAGTCTGCAGGGCCGATTCGGCAGTCAAACAGAGGGTTGAGGGACCCTACACCCCTGTACTCCTACCTTCTACCCTAAACCCTAAACCCTAAACCCTAAACCCTAAACCCTAAACCCTAAACCCTAAACCCTAAACCGTTGAGGTCCAGAGGGTTACAGGTATCTATACTTGGCTGCACTTAGGAGGGTATCTATCAATTAAACTTTTAGCTGCCTTACTAGGAAACCCAATAAATCCAAAAAGGCGAAGGATCTAAAGTTGCAGTAAAGCACCACAAAGTATAGTATTCAAAACCCGGAAACCCCAACCCTCAACCCAAACAAAAAACAGGATGAAAACCCCAAACAAGGGAAACAAGCCCTAAGCCCTAAGTCCTAAGCCCTAAGCCCTAAGCCCTAAGCCCTAAACCCTAAAACCCAGAGACCCTAAACCCTAAGCCCTAAACCCTATTCCTAATGTTAGGGCTTTCTGGTGGGGTTTACGTCCTGGAGTGCAGGGCTGACTTGGAGGGTTCGTGGTACTTATTAACCAATTCTAACCCACTTATAAGCCCATTAAGTGCCCTAATATGGTTCTACATACAGTCAAAGTACAGTTATAGTTGGTTAAGAAGTACCATGAACCTACAAGGAGGACTTCAAGGGCCGAGTCTTCTAGCCCTGGCTGCTAGAAGGCCGGGCCACCACTCGTCAAGCTCATCGTCGAGACCTGACGGCCGAGGTTTAGGGTTTAGGGTTTAGGGTTTAGGGTTTCGGGTTTCGGGTTTAGGGTTTAGGGCTTTAAGACCGACAACTTAACTCACCAAACGCGTTTATTTGAAAATCCTGAACGCCCGAACACTAAACACACCAAACGCTTTGTAAATCCTGAACCTTGAAATCCTAACTGACCTCCTGATCCCCTAAACCCTAAACCCTGAACCCTAAACCCTCATAGTTGAGGTCTTCGACTCTTGGGGATACCCCTTTGGGGGGGGGGGGGGGGGAGGTTTGGGGGGGATTTCTGACGAAACGCCCAACCCCCCCCAGAGCTTTGAAAAGCAGGACCAACAGCCTGCAAGTGCCAACTCCAAAGCTTAGGGTTTAGGGTTTAGGGTTTCCTAACTAAAAAACACTTCTGTTTCAACCTACTAGACCTAAACCTTCGGCCCCTAAACCTTGAACCCCTTAAACCCCAAGCCTTCAGCGCTAACCCCGAAACCCTTTAACCCCAAACTCCTGAATCAACCCTCGTCTCCAAACCCCAAAAATCTCGCGGGTTTAGGGCCTCTAGGTTGGGATGTTCCCCCTTAAACTAACAGTGCTTCATAGGGATTATAGTACCCCTATTATAGTCCCCATTAAGGACTGCTAGAAGAAGGGGGAATATCCCAACCTTTAGGGTTTAGGGTTTAGAGTCAAACCCTCCACCCTTAGCCCTGCTAGCCAAGTCGCTGGTGTCACGGGATCAGCTATGGGCCGCAAAGCAGCAGCACCTGCTTGCACGCACTCGGGCATTTTTGCATTCAAAGGAATGGGATTTAGGCGTTTGGGGTAGTCTTGCGTGGGGGTTACAACAATGTCGAGGCCCTTTCATCACCGCCGGACCCATGACCCTTAGCCAGGTTGACGGATGATAAGGAAAAGAAGGGCAAACGGATCAAAAAAACGAAACAAGGATCGAACCAAAATTGCCGTAGTAGCAGTGGTCGTGGTTATATCTAATAGGAAACCTGTATCATCTCGACAAAAGAAATTCCTCTACGTGCTCTATGTTGGCATGGAAATGTTTCATAGGAGAAGCTGTATTTCTCTGTATTGCAACGGAAAATGTCTACTTTCTGCATTTTCTCTATTTGTTCATAGGAAAGCTTGTTTTATCTCAATGATGACATATGAAAAGCTTGAGTTCTTGCATAGAAGATCCTCTATGACGCCATGGCAAACCTGTATGCTGTCTCTGCTTATAAGCAATGCTGATGGGTTTGGAACAGAATCATACGCTTTTCGAACAGGAGAGTTTTCATATCTTTTCATAGGAAGTCCTCCATTTCTCTATGTTTCCATAGGACAACCTCTATTTTCTCCTCCACCAGTTTCTGTCTATGGCTTCATGCAAGCCAGCTTGAAAATTCGGGGGCGTTGGGCATCCCCCACCCTGCCCCAAATTTGGAAACGCAAAGCTAGCATGGCTATCTGTTTTGAAACAAACTTGCAGGGGGGCGTGCCGAATGGCAGGACCTTGGCTTTAGCCAGGGTTGCCACTTCATCCGCCCACCAGCCGTCTCGCCGGCATGCGACGGGGCCCGCTGTCAGCCTCAGCCACGGTTCTCCCTGGGCAGTGAAACGCTCCCCTTTGCCGATGTCGTTAGTGTAGCACATGACCGCCCGCCAAAAGCAGTTTCCGTCGCCCAGCATCTTGAACAGAACCATTCGCTGCAGCCTTCCGACGGGATGTGCTCCTTCGTGCTCTTCACTAGGACGTGGATCTTCATCGCAGATGGCCAGGACCTGTCCGACGCCACGCCCAACGAAAACAGCACAAGGACAGCCAGTGCATGAACGGAGAAAAACTGATCACGGCGCACGAGCCTGGCTGCTCCGGCGAAAGGAAAAAAAAGGCCGACCCTCGAAGCCTTTATCCTGCACCGGTGAGCCTGGCCGATCAGAAGTCATGGATGGTGTCTGCTCATCCGGCTCACCCTAGCTGGTCATGAATTTGCTGCTTCCGTGACTTGATGCTGTGTGGCCCGTAATCGCTTGCGTTTTGACACTCAAGCAAAAAGTATGAAGAGTAATCTTGCCTGGAATGGGCTCCATGTTTCGCGCGGCGTGGGCCGTGTCTAGAAAAAGCCGGCATTCTGGACGCGCCCAAAACATTCGGCCGTCCGTCCCTTGCGCGCGTTCTGCCAGATCGGCATCTGTGGTCTGTGCAACGCGCAGACCCTTCGGCACGTCTGCGTGGGAAAGCAAACACCCGTGGGCGTCGACCTTTCGCCATCGACGACTGTGAACAAGGGTGTCGCGAAGCCACGCCAAAATGGGCTCTTGCCTGCGGCCGAGTCGCAAATTGCATTGAGTCACGCAGCCGGGCCGTGTCCGCCGGTCCCTTTTCATGGGATCGAAGGTTGCACGGAAGTCTGCGTGGCAAAGCCATCCTGCCAGCGAGTAGAAAAAGGCAAACAAGAAGTAGCCGCAGAAATGAGAACGCAGGCCACAGCCAGAGGGATGGGCAGAGGCCTACCGCGTCCAGTGGGGAGGTGCATGCATCCGCTATTCCAGTTTGTGACCACTCCAGCTCTTTCGTGTGCATATCAAGGAGATCAAGCTCGTCCTGATAGAGATCCTCGAGACTCAGGTTGAGATGCGGAGGTCGCAGTGGTGGACTTGCAGGCAACGCGAGAAGTCTGGACGCTTACTGCTATGCTCGCAAACAAGCCACGCGGGAAGGCGCGCGGCCATGTATCCAAAGGAGCTTGCACGTGCCATTCCAGAGTGAAACTTCCAGTGTGAAGGTGGCCGCGGTCGTGTGCTGGGTGAGACGCGCAATGATTGAGGTACTCTTAGACAGCCTGCCGGGCCCTTGCAGGCGAGATGTGCATGTGTGGTGCCACAGAATGCCAGAAGCAGTCCCCTTCGCCGGCATTAGCTCAGCAACCAAGCCGAGCAGCTCCAGTACATCATCTTTTGCACGGTGTGAGGTGCAGTCGGGCTGACAGCCGACTGGTTGCCGACTCTTGGACGGCACTTGTGGATTTTGTGAGGCCGTGTTCGTGGAGAATCAAGGTCTATAATGCAAACGTGAGGAGGCAAGCGCAAGTCCACTGATGTCTCTGCTCGGACAAAGCGGGACTCCACGGCGCCCTCATCACACAAATTGACCATGGCATATTGGCCGACGGCTCATGTACGATCGGCCAGAGGAAAAGATGGTGGCAGGTTGTCGCCGATGCCTTCAGCCACGCCGGGCCCAAGTACAGGGGAGACGAAAGCCTCAGTCAAACATGCACTGCATGTTCAACAAGTTCTGGCTGCTGAAAAATTGTAAAACCCTATTCAAGAGCAGACAGTTGAGGTGATGGCAACGAAACAATCATTTCTCACGAGCAAGGGTTGCATGGGACATTTTAGGGGTCTGGGTCTAAGAACTAGAAAATGCTCTGAGCCCTCAACGCTAAACCCTAAACCCTTAAACCCTGACCCTTAACCCCTGGACCCTATTCGGCCAACTCTGGGGGGGAGGTACTCTTAGCAGCACAGGTAGCGCAGAGGTGGAAAGGCCCGTTTGGGCGCGTTGAGGCTTATAGGGTTTGGGGTTCGGAGTTTAGGGCTTGGAGACCCTAAATCCTAGATAAACCCTAAACCCGAAGCCCAGGGTTTAAGGGTTTGGTGCTGAGGAAGGCTTCGGGCGTCTGGCTGGCGTCCGAAACCCACAAACGCCCCATCCAACCCCAAAGTCCCCCCTATTCAGCCCTATAAGCCCTATAAGCCCTATGAACCCTACCAAAGTTTCTAAAGCCCATAACACCCCAAGCCCGACAATGGATACAAACCCCTAGAAACCCCAAACCCTACGGACCTTAACCCGAACCCTCCCTCCCCTCTCCCCCGCCCCCAGAAAAAAAAGGTACCCTGAACCCTAAACCCTAAACCCTAAACCCTAAACCCTAAACCCTAAACCCTAAAAAACAGTGTGAAAAAAAAAAAAAAAGCCTGCAACCCTTGGAGGCCCATGAACCCTAAAAGGGTTTGGGGTTTAGGGTTTGGGGTTCAGGGTTGGAAGAAGATCCCAAGTTTCGGGGCTCATTTCTAAACCCTAAACCTTAAACCTTAAACCTTAAACCCTAAACCCTAAACCCTAAACCCTAAACCCTAAACCCTAAACCCGGAGGCCCAAAGGAGCCCAATTTACTTCGGCCGGGGGCGCGAGCACTGCTTGGCGACATCAACGAGGAGCTCCAGTTGGTGGGCAGGTCCTGGGTTGATGAGGGTGGAGGGTTTCGGGGCCCGATATCCTAGGGAGCCTGCTAGGGTTTAGGGTTTAGGGTTTAGGGTTTAGGGTTTAGGGTTTAGGGTTTAGGGTTTAGGGTTTAGGGTTTAGGGTTTAGGGTTTAGGGTTTAGGGTTTAGGGTTTTTCGGGTTTCGGGTTAAGAATTTCTAAGGGAAGATACAGGGTCCCTTGATATGGTCCCTTCCCTTCTTTCAAAGGGTTCTGCATTATATGGGCCCTGAGTTGGGTATATCAGGGGCATATTTAAGGGTTCCCCCGACTGAAGGCCCAGAATAAGAGACCATGCAACTACCCTGTGAGTTGAGGGTTTCGGGTTTAGGGGCCTAAGATCTAGGGCTCCATGGACTGAAACGAGGAGGAGTTTAGGGCTTCCGCGTGCGCAATTTTGGTAGTCAGCTGCTCCGCCTTCTTTACCCCAACCACTAAATCCTAAACCCTAAACCCTAAACCCTAAACCCTACACCCTAAACCCTAAACCCTAAACCCTAAACCCGGCTGTTCGGTCCGAGGCTAACGGTTACTCTGGCTATTGGGCCGATGGAGCGCTGTTTGCACCTGTCCAGACTTCCCACGCGCACGCATACCCTTGCAGAAGGAAGGTTTCGATGGTTTAGGGTTTAGGGTTTAGGGTTTAGGGCTTAGGGCTTAGGGTTTAGGGTTTAGGGTTTAGGGTTTAGGGTTTAGGGTTTAGGGTTTAGGGTTTAGGGTTTAGGGTTTAGGGTTTAGGGTTTAGGGCTTAGGGTCGCCAGCCTCCAGGTTGTGTGATGGAAAGTGCCAGACTTTGAGGTTCATGTTTGGTTACAAGCAGAAAACAAAAGTAAGGCAAACCGAAGACCCCAGTTCGGGTACTGATACCAGCTACAGCTTCATGCAGAGGGGTTGGGGGGGAGGGGGAGGGGAGGGGGTAGGGATGGGTGGTTGGGTGGGTAGGGGTGGGTAGACCGCCCCCGGTTTGAAGTTGTCTTTGCTTGTGCTGTTAGTTGGGATGTTCCCCCTTGTGCTTTCCGTCCTGAGTAGGGATTATAATAGGGAGTACTATACTCCCTACTCAGGACTGTTAGTATAAGGGGGAACAACCCTAAACCCTAAACCCTAAACCCTAAACCCTAAACCCTAAACCCTAAACCCTAAACCCTAAACCCTAAACCCTAAACCCTAAACCCTAAACCCTAAACCTTAAACCCTAAACCCTAACCCCAAACCCTAAACCCTAAACCCTAAACCCTAAACCCTAAACCCTAAACCCTAAACCCTAAACCCTGTTCAGGAATTGAGACCCAACCCCCGGAGAGTCCTGGGAAAGCTCAGACCATGTTCGTGCGTATCGAATAACCTGGTCAGGCAGTGGCGACTTCCTAGAGGCAGGGTTTAGGGTTTAGGGTTTAGGGTTTAGGGTTTAGGGTTTAGGGTTTAGGGTTTAGGGCTTAGGGCTTAGGGTTTGGGGTTTAGGGTTTAGGGTCGCCTAGGAATTAAAAGGGTGTCCATTTTGGTTTAAAGGAGCTTATTAGAGGACCTAAACGCAATAAAAGGGAACAAGGGCCCACTCTGGTTCCTAGCTTCTGTTGCAGGAATTTTGGGGAAGTGGTGTAGTGGTGGGCATTTGGGGTGTGTGAAGGGAACCTGCGTATGTTCCCCTAAACCCAAACACCCCGTCTGTTGAAACTCAAGCAGTTTAGGGTTTAGGGTTTAGGGTTTAGGGTTTAACTCAAGCCCCTTCACCTCCATAGTCCTGCCGGCTACACTGAAACACAGCAAACCCTCACAATCCACCCTTGCCAGTAGGGGATAGGATTCGGGGAACCCTTGGGGCTATAGACCCCTCTCAATAAGGGCCCTGCTTAAGAGAGTCAGAAGCAGGTTCGGAAGGGTTCTCTCCTAAACCCTAAACCCTAAACCCCAAACCCCAAACCCTAAACCTAGAATTAGGCCTTCAATGGGCTTAGGGTGTAAGATTTAGGCTTTAGGGTTTAGGGTCTCGCTGCAAAGGCTTACATGATGCCTTTCATCGCGCCGGGAACCCCTGCAAATGGGCTGTCGAGCTGCCACCGCTCTCCTCGAACCACAACCCTGTAAACCCCTGACCTCCCGCCCTCCCCTAAACCCCACCCTAAACCCTAAACCCTCAACGCTAAGCCGTAAACCCAAAACCCCAAGTCCCAAACCCCAATCCCTAAACCCTATTAGCCTAACCCCCCCCCCAAACAAAAACACGAAATATTAAAAAGCAAAAGACAAAATGCCGGCCTTGGTGCTTCGCAATTTTTTCAACTTCTGAAAGACGGAAGGCCCGCTCCAGTGTGTGGTGTTGTCGTCCACTGTCTCCTCAGAAGCGTGGGGGGGTTTTGGGGGGCTTCTAAGGGGGGTTAAAGGGGTTTAAAGGGGTTTTAGGGTTTCGGGTTTTAGGGTTCAGGGTTTAAAGGGC